GGAGCTTTGCAAAAGCAGCACACCTGGTCCTTAGTTCCCTTGCCTTCTCATAAAAATCAAATTGGTGTAAATGGGTCTTTAAAATCAAACGCAACTCTGATGGTTCGATTGCTCACTATAAGGCTCGTCTTGTTGCTAAAGGTTACCTCCAATAGGAAGGTATTGATTTTCAGGAGACTTTCAGTCCGTTGCCAGGCTTCCTACAATCCGGATGATTCTTTGCCTTGCCTTACATCATCACTGGCCTCTCAAACAGTTGGATATATCCAATGCTTTCCTTCATGGTAAGCTTGAAGAAGAGGTTTTCATGACCCAAACTCCTGGTTTTGTTGATTCTTCCTCTCCTACCCATGTTTGTAAGCTTCATAAGGCCTTGTATGGGCTTAAACAAGCCCCACGTGCTTGGTATTCTACATTTTCTACCTTTTTACTTTCTCAAGGTTTCCATAATAGTCATTGTGATTCCTCCCTTTTCATTCACAAAACCTCTCATTCCATTACCATTTTAGTGGTTTATGTTGATGACATCTTGCTCACTAACAGTGATCCTTCTCATATTCAAACCTTGGTTGCTCAAATGCATCTTGCTTTCTCTATGAAAGAGTTAGGCAATTTGTCTTATTTTCTTGGGATCTCTGTTCAAACCTCTAATACACATTATTTCCTTTCTCAACAAAAATATGCTCAGGAGATCATTCACAAAGCTAGGCTGGATGATTTTAAGCCTTGCTCATCTCCTATTTCAGTTAAACCTGGTCTCTCTCCTACTTCTGATCTTCCTTTTTCTAATCCTTCTCTCTATCGTACTCTTGTTGGGGCTTTACAACACTTGACAATCACTCGTCCTGATCTCTCTTTGGCTGTCAACCAAGCTTACCAGCACATGCATGCACCTACCAATGGTGATTTCTCTGCTGTTAAACGTTTGCTTCACTTCGTTAAGGGTACACTCTCTCATGGTCTCACCTATACACCAAGCACCTTTGATCTTCATGTTTTTTCTGATTCTAATTGGGCCGGCGATACTATTGATCGTAAGTCTACATCTGGGTATTGTGTCTTTTTGGGTTCCAATCTTGTTTCTTGGTCTGCCAAGAAGCAGGCCACTGTCTCTCGTTCCTCCACCGAGGCTGAATATCGGGCTTTAGCCCATGCTGCTGCTGAAGTTAGTTGGCTCCGTATGTTACTTGCTGACTTGTTTGTCACTTCTCCTACTATGCCTGTGATCTGGTGCGATAATCTGTCTGCACTTGCTTTGGCCTCCAATCCGGTGTTTCATTCCCGGTCCAAGCATATTGAAGTTGATTGCCATTTTGTTCGGGAATAGGTGCTTGCAAAACGTTTTTCTGATTCTAATTGGGTCGGCGACACTATTGATCGGAAGTCTACATCTTGGTATTGTGTCTTTTTGGGTTCCAATCTTGTTTCTTGGTCTGCCAAGAAACAGGCCACTGTCTCTCGTTCCTCCACCGAGGCTGAATATCGGGCTTTAGCCCATGCTGCTGCTGAAGTTAGTTGGCTCCGTATGTTACTTGTTGACTTGTTTGTCACTTCTCCTACTATGCCTGTGATCTGGTGCGATAACCTGTCTGCACTTGCTTTGGCCTCCAATCCGGTGTTTCATTCCCGGTCCAAGCATATTGATGTCGATTGCCATTTTGTTCGGGAACAGGTGCTTGCTAAACGTCTTTCTCTTCAGTATGTTCCCACCGTTGATCAGTTGGCCGACATTTTCACCAAACCATTGTCTGTCTCTCGCTTTCAGTACCTTAAAGCCAAACTCATGGTGTCTTCCCCCATGGGTTTGCAGGGGCATGTTAAAGCCACCTCTATTGATGCACGTGTAAAAGAAAATATAGTTAGTTAGTTAGTGACTCTGTTAGTCAGTTAGTGAGTTTGTTACAGAGAGTCAGTTCTTGTATTTTGTATATATATATGAGCTTTGCTCATACATTCATAGTAATGTGAATCAGATTACTATTTTCCACAAATAGTTCGGATTATCAAAGTAGGCTTGAGACAAACTCTCATAAGCTCTCACAATAGGATTGTTGTGCCTCATGGCATAGCAACAGCCTCCCACCCAATAAATAAACAATTTGAATTATCATACATGAATCTAAATTGGATCTACTAAGACAAATGTGAACTAATTGGATAGAAACCATTCCATTTTAGAAAAGTATTTTCCATATGTAAGAAAATATTATTTTACCGAAATAGACGGAACGGTCAAATGTATCTGCTTTGACAAAAAGGATTCTAATGGAAAGACTAGCGAAATGAAATTATGTGTGCTGAGTCTGTTTTGCAAAGACTTTTGACAATTTATATTTTGTTTTTTATTTTTTATTTTTTTTTACCTTATCTCACAAAAATATATAAATTTTATTACAATAAATATAAACTTTTACTTCTCACAATATGCCTAACTTCTCTCACAAAAAGTATTATTTTAGTTATATATGACTTAGATGTATATCATAACTTCAAAATTCATGACATTTATTATAAAAATCGTAATTTTCATCTCACAAAATGTATAACTTCCCTTACAAAACATATAATTTTTTCTACAATGTGCAACTGCACTGTGTAACCTCTCCCCTACTTTGCTATTCTCTATTTTTATGAATTAATCATACATCAGTTTGATAGTGCAGTCGAGCAAAATAAATAAATAAATAACAAAAAATAAAAAGTAATAATAATAAATAAAATAAAAAGACAAAAGATACATACACCATGGGCCCAACAAAATGATATACATTCTCTAAATATTTGACAAATTTTGATTCTCTATCTTTTCTAAATGAAAATCTAATGTTTAAAGGCTAAAGTATGTGTGGATGGTGAAATTGCCTTCACGCGACACTACAACATATAAGAGTTTTAGAGACCAAATATTTTGGTCTTTAAAATTGAAAATTTTGTTGCAAAAGACATTTAGGGACCAATTTTTATCGTCATAAGGATAATTGCTAAAATGTCATCCCGAAAAATAAAAAACAAGGCTTTTAGCGACAAAATTTTGAAATGTCACTCATAAATAGACTTTTAGGAACAATAATTAGGTCTCAAAATGGTGTATTTTTTGAGATAAAAAATTTGGTCACAAAAGGATAATAATTCATCTCTGATGTCTAATAAAAATATAATAACGACACTTTTCGCAACAAAAATATTTGATCCCTAATAAATAATTTTCTCTCTAATTTTGGTCTTTAAAACCTTAATTTTTTGTAGTGCGGGATTAGTGAGATGATTCGCCTACTCCTTTATCTGCATGAGAAACGAAAGTTAGTAATAACACTCTTAACGATGAAGTCAATGATTTGGTTGGATATTCAGTATAATATAAATGAAATTAGTAATTTTGGAAAAAAAAAAAATTCTTTCTTTATTTTTTTTTATTTTTTTATTTTTTTGTGTGTATTATGTTAGTGTGCCCTTTCTTCTTTACCTGGTTCCCTTTTTTTGTAGTTGATTAAGGTATTATCGTAAATCATTGATCTTCCTTTGATAGGACGACTAACTTCTTGTCGGGGTCACTTTTGTTACTGGCCAAGTTGTATCTATTGTGGACCGTAGAATTTCTATCGGATGGTCATACTATTATCAGACCTCAGTGGCCAAGTTGTATATATTGAGAATTGATCGTTGGATTTGGGCTGATCGAGCAGTACTGTTCCTTATCAGCAATTGTAGAATCTCTTACTGGATGCTCATACTTTTAATTTGCTTTAAATGTAAACCTTTTGTCTATTTTCATTAAGTAATGTTAACTGAAAAAAAAAAATAAAAAAAAAAAAAAATAGTCATTAAACTCAACAAAAGAGGGTATTTTGGACATTTTATATACACCTCCATTAGTTTAATAATTAAAATATATTTTTTTCATAAATTTTACGTAATGAAAATAGGGTAATGATTTAGATTAAAAACAAATCAATATATTCGAATTTAAATTGATAAAATAAAAAACATAAAGTTTGTTTTGTTACAAAAGTGAAACTTTGAGTCCTTTTTCTTTCTGTTTTTTTTTTTTTTCCCCCCAAAACACAAATAATAATTTGAATTGTTTAGACTAATTTTTCATTCCTTCCCCTAGCTCTTACCTTCTCCGGCTAACATACATCGCTCATTACTACATTTGACACCATTGCGGACAACCTTCTCTTGCTATTGTTGCCAGAGACCTAATCTGACAACCACCTGACTAACACTTTGCACTACTGGCAACCATCCTATTGGCAGGGCCACCAATGACCACTGCTACCAATCCTTCCAACCACCAACTTCTATTGAAACTGCATTTGGGCCTAAAACCACTTTCAACCACCACCTTCTGCAAATAAACACTTTCAGAAATATCACATATTTTTGAAATAAATTTTTAAAACATGTGTATATCAAATATATATTTTTAATTTATTTTTATAAAAAAATAAATATAAATAAGTTTAATGTTTTTTTTGAACAAAAACCAAAAAACTATAAATATTACCAAACATAACTTAAATATTTTATTTATAAATTTCTTATCAAGTTAAAATAATAATAAATAAATTCTTATCATGTATATCAATAGCTAAAACGAAAGAATCAAAATATTTTAGACGTGTCTATGTTCTCAGAAAAATATCAAGAAAATACATTAGATGGTTAAAATTAATTTCATGTGTGAGTCCCACAAACATGTCATGAATGGATTTCAGTCACATACCAATTTTCTAGTCTAAGATTATGGGCTCATGGACTTTTTGTACATATGTTATTATGGCACAATATATGTGATGAATTAAGACCACATGAACAATTAAACCCAATATTGAAAATATAAACTAGTGTGGAAGAACGTCTATAAATATCAATACAATGCCCAATTAATATTGACAACAAGTTTGATCATGGAGTGTAGTTCAAAATTATATTTGGGGACATTCATAACACTATTTCTAGTTGTGCTTGTGTTTCAAAGTTATGGAAGTTTAGGATGCATGGAAGAAGAGAGGATTGGGCTCCTGAAACTTAAAGATGCACTCAAGAATAGGTCATTTTTAAGTTCATGGGGTGGTGAAGAGAGTAATTGCTGTAGGTGGAGGAAGGTCAAGTGTGATAATACCACAAAAAGAGTGATCAAACTTTCTCTAAGTAGCAAACTACAACCCCAGCAGCTTAATTCGTCCTTGGATGCTTCATTATTTCTTCCCTTCACAGAATTGCAGGTCTTAACATTATCTTGGAACGGCTTGAAAGGTCTCTCTGTCTCTCTCTCTCTCTCTCTCACTACCCAAAAGTAATATCAAGAACACATTTTGATATTACCCCTATTTTTCAGAGAAAAACATTTTTTTATTGGAGTTTTATATGATGAAAAATGAAATTGAACAAAAAAACAAGTTTATTGAGATGCAAAATATTTTTCACTTTTGTATATTGGAATTTTTTTGGGGGTCTAAAGTCATGTCAACTCCACCATATTATCACCAGCACCAACACCACCACTAATGCAATCATTAGTACATTAATTTTTAGGTCGCCATCAAATATAGAAAAAAAATAATTATGGAAAACATTTTTGAAAGGGCAAATCACACTGGTATTCTTTATATTTGGCCCATTGTGTCATTTCGGCTATTCAATTTCAATTGGTTCCATTTTGACAATTGATTTTAGATTTTGTATCAATTTGATCCAATTGATAATGTTGTTGGTATTTTTGACAGAAAATAATTACTGAATTAGTTGAGGTTAACTCACTGAGTTGAGCAAATTTATAATTTTGCTCCTAAAATAATGACAAATGCTACTTATGTGTGTATTTTTCATTAAAAAATGTTAACAGTTGTATTCAATTGGACTAAATTGAGATAGAGTCATAATTTTAGGGTCAAAATCTAGGCAATTGAAATTACATGGACCAAAATAATACAATGATCAAAATACAGGAATTACAGGCGTAATTTGCCCTTTCTGAAATTATTTTCGACAAAAAAACGTTATGAAAAGAAAATATTTTACGCTGTAACAAAAGGAAGGAACATTACTTGATGATGCTTTGATGCAGGTTTCCAAGGAGTGCTTAGATTGAATAAATTACAAAATTTGAATTTACATCAAAATGAATTCACAGAACTCCCATCCTTGGGTGGGCTACCATCCCTTACATCCCTAGATCTTGTATCCAATTTTTTGGGGAACTCAAACAATTTTGAAGGTATAGATTTTCATTTCATTAAAGAATATCTTGACTTGTAGTTGAGGAGATTTAATGTCCCAACACTTACTATGTTCTATGTTTGATAGAGCTAACTACTTTGAGCAATTTGGAAGTGTTGAAGCTGGGCAATAATTCGATTACCAGTGAGATTGCAACCTCTTTTGCAACCTCTATTGCAAGCCTCACGTCTCTTAAGACCTTATCTTTAGCAGACAATAAACTAAATGGCTTGTGGCCAGTTGAAGGTAATTCAAAACAATTATCGTAAGTGTTCAATGATGTGAATGAATTCTCATGTTTTATGGGCTTATAAGATCGTGAACATGTTTGCATTTGGATTTAAGTCATTATTATTATTATTATTATTATTAGTATTAGTATTTTGTATCTTTAGCATGGAATCTACTAAATATTAGATCAATTAAGAATTCCAATTTATGTCCAAGAAAAGAAAAAAAAAAAATTATGTGTTCTCGTTTTGGCTACTAGCTCATAGCATTTGGTAATTTTTCCCCATATTTATGTGATGCTCTTAGTGAAAATTAAGTACGTCTAGAGGGAAATGGATCTAATAACTTTGCAGCAATAATCACACAACTTGCACTGTTCGTTTTTGCAGGCATGTGCAAATTGAAGAACCTTGAAGAGTTGGATCTGTCTTCGTGTGGTCTAGAGGGAAAGCTGCCACCATGTCTCTCCAATTTGACATCCATCCGTTCGCTTGAACTTTCGAAAAACAATTTCAGAGGAACTATTCCTTCAACCCTCTTCTTTAGTCTCAAGTCACTGGAGTATGTTTCTCTTTCTGAAAATCTTTTTGAAGGCTTGTTCTCATTCAGTTCGCTTGCTAACAACTCCAAACTTGTGGTCTTTAAACTCGCAAATTATAACAATCTTTTAAGGGTGGAGACAGAGATCCCACATATGTTCCTTCACTTTCAATTGAAAGTCCTCCACTTATCAAATTGTACTCTCAACGAGCCACATGGAACTATACCGAGCTTTCTCTTAAATCAATATGACTTGAAAGCTGTTGACCTTGGCTACAACAAAATAATAGGAAAGTTCCCAAGTTGGTTGTTAGCAAATAATACAAGATTGGAATTCCTATGCCTTACCGAAAATCTCTTCAGTGGGTCTCTTGATTTTCATCCTAATTCATACAATGTCAACATGACTGTGCTTGACGCCTCCAACAATGTTCTCGATGGACAACTTCCATCTTATATTGGTTCCGTGCTTCCAAATTTGTATTTCTTAAAAATATCCCAAAATGGATTGCACGGTAATATCCCTTCGTCATTGGGTGATATGAGAGGGTTATTTTCATTAGACTTGTCCAGCAATAAGTTATATGGACAAGTCCCAGAGCATCTAGCCAGTGGTTGCAAATCATTGACAATTTTAAGGCTTTCATACAATAATTTGCATGGCCAAATACTTCCTATCAATGCAAACCTTGCAAAGCTACAGTTTTTATATTTGAACAACAATAACTTCTCAGGGGAGCTCTCACCTGGACTTTTAAATAGCTCCAAATTGGAATTGCTAGATATTAGCAATAACAGAGTGTTTGGGAAAATTCCTAGTTGGATAAAAGACAATCCCTCTTTAACTTTTCTCATAATGTCCAAAAATTCTTTGGAAGGTCCATTACCAATAGAATTTTGCAAATTGAATGAACTTCGCTACGTCGACCTTTCTCATAACAATATTGGCCCAACCATACCACCTTGTGCAAATATGTTGTCCTTGAATTACCTACATTTGCAAAGAAATGATTTTAGGGGAACTATACCAATTGTTCTATCTAAAGCTTTTTCCCTAGTAACATTAGATATGAGCGACAACAAATTATCAGGTGAAATTCCTAAGTGGATCACTTCACTGTCAAATTTGAGGATCCTGCTCCTGAAAAGTAACAATCTTGATGGTCTCATTCCTATCGATTTGTGCCAACTCAAAAACATAAGCATATTGGATCTCTCTCATAATCATTTTTCTGGATCCATTCCACCTTGCTTGAAAGATATCACTTTTGGATGGGGAAGAACATTGGATGGTACATTTTCTATCAGAGACCAAAATATGTCTTCGTTTGTAAGCTCATACAAAACTCAACTTCCTATAAAGGCGTTGGATTATTATTTAGGATATTATACATTCGATGAGACTGAAGGAGTGGAGTTTCTAACAAAGAGCAGGTATGAAACCTACATGGGAAATGTTTTGTACTTCATGTCTGGAATAGATCTTTCTTGTAACAATCTAACTGGTCAAGTTCCTTCTGAAATTGGAAACCTAAGTTGGATTATTTCATTGAACCTCTCATACAACCAATTGACTGGTGCAATCCCGGAGACATTTTCCCACCTAAAGCAAATACAAAGCTTGGACCTATCTCACAATAAGTTGAGTGGTCAGATTCCTTTACAATTGATAGAGTTAACCTTCTTGTCAGTCTTCAAAGTCGGTTACAACAACTTATCTGGTAGAACACCAGAGAGACGGGCTCAATTTGCCACATTTGATAAAAGCAGTTACGAAGGAAACATTTTTCTTTGTGGAGAGCCATTAAAGAAAAGTTGTACCAACACTGACCATCATGCTCCACCGTCTTCAGAACTGGTAGCAGATGACTCATTCAAACTCATGTTTTACTGGAGCTTTGGAGCATCGTATACTGTGGCATTCTTATGCTCCATAGTCTTTCTTCATCTCAACTCATACTACAGAAGCCAACTTGTTAAATACATAGAGGCACATGTTTTATCATACTCTTGAGTGTTCATAAATTTATCTATAGTCTTGTATAAGCTTGTGATTGCAAGTTTATTTTTACTTATTATGTTGAGTAAAGTTGCTAATTTGGTGTTGGGTGTTGATTCGGGGGTTCATTTATCTTGTTTGGTGCTGGGCGAAACTTTTTCATCATAGGTGATCAACAAAATTGACGGCAACAACGTTAGTGGTTGTCTCTTCTTATTTTGGTATTACTCTGACTCAAGGGCGGAACCGGAATTTCAACTACATACGGGTCAAGCTATGACCAAAAAAAAAAAATCTTTTACATATCAATTTTTACATACTGTCATATTTTAATCCAATAATGATCAAATAATACATAAAAAATTATCATCTATTTAACATGATCAAAAAAGAAGTCATATCTACTCAACTTTAATATATAAATGTGGAGGTTCAGAGAGAGATATCTCTAGGTGATTTCCGGCACTACTCTGTTGGTGCTCCGGTGACATTTCGGCGACCCATTTTACACTTGTAAAGTGTAGATCTACACTCGTAAAGTATGGATCTACAATTTTAGAGTGTAGATCTGAACTTTTTATGTCCGAAATAGGGGTCTTGAGAGTTTTCTCCTCCTATTTCGGCATAGATTTTTAGATTTTTAACACCCACAATGATTCCTTCCTCTCTAAAACCTTCTCCCATATCATTATGGGTGTACTTCCTTCTCTGCCGGCGGCGGCAGCGGCGGAGTTGGGCAGCTACGATAGGGACGACGTCGATGGAGACGACAGACTTTCAAGTAAATCTTGCTTTCCAGACCACATATTTGAGTAGATCGGTGGTTTTTCCTGAATCGTAATTGGTTTTTTTACAGATTTATATTTTTGTTGTTTGTTGGGATGGCCTTTTGGAGTCTTGTTTATGTACTATTGTTAGTTTATTAATATAATGTTTCCTATGTTCTCAAAAAAAGAAAAAAGAAAAAAAACAACTTTAATATATAAATAAAAGAGAAATCATAAGTTAATTGATTATTTGGATATGCTAACTCAATTATCTATTAAACTGGAAGTCATTTTTTGTTTTTTCAAATTTCAAAAGTTTTCCACTAGGTATCATATGAATCTCATTAATATGATATTAGCACTATAAGTATGCCTCTTTAGTTGATAAATAAATTGTGATAAAAAGAAATATAATTAATTTATTATTACTATTAAATGATGCATTTATTAAATAAATTAAAAAAAGATAATAATTCTTTCTTCTTTTTTTTTCCAGTGTTCCAATTCTTTTGTACAGGGAAACTTGTTTTTATCAAGAAACATTAAGTTTTCAATATTTTTGTAATGCCCCAAAAAAATATTGACGTCCGATATATCTAAATTAACTCATAAACATAATCTAAATCTCATTACTTCTCATTATTATATACAAAAACATTGAATAATATAGACATTTCAATAGTCAAGATTCATACTAAATCTCCATTTTTCCATTAACAATATCCAACATTAGATTACATAAAAGAGAGACCATATGCATTAATACAGTCAACATTCTTAAGATATAAATCTATAGCATGTGATAATAACAAATTAAAGTAACAAAATACTAATGGCTACAAGTTCCAAGGCTTTGCCCTGTTACAACAAAGTAGTTTCAAACTCATACATAGATAGCCTTTGACTTGCAAAACAAAATAAAACAAATAAATAATTGAGCATTGTACTCCAAAAAGATCTTCCATGTCTTCACTTCGACAAAAGCACACCACAATCACATGAAAAATGGTTTCCACTCAAGGATGAGTATAAAGCCCCACTAAAAATTCTCTTTCTAAAAACCTCCACCTTCGGGCCTCACCACTGGCCAGCCGGCCGCCGCCTTTGGCCATGGCGGTTGGCTGGCCTATCTTTTTCATCTTGTGTTCTTGGTTTTTTCTCCTAATAAATTGAGCCCCCATTTGTTTTCCACTATCTCCTTTTCAGATCTAATCTCTAGATTTGCTTAGGTTGCTGTTTTGGTTCTATAGATTTTGTGTAGGATGCTCGTTCTTCGGGTTATTTTTGCCAGGTATTCGTTGGGTGGCAGTAGATCTTTCATATCCGGCGGTCTGAAAGCTTGGTGTGTCGGTGTTTGATGGGTGGTTTTGGTGGGTTTTTCTGTCTCGAATGGAAAGCTTCATTGGTAGTGGTGCTTCAGCCATGGTGTTCAGCTTCAGCCATGGGTCTCGGTTTAGGTTGGGTGCTTTGATCATGGGTGGGTTGGTTCAGGAATTCATTCGGGCACTTCTTTGTGAGCGGGAGTTTGAGGGGTGGAGGATTCAAAGTTGTTTAGGATCTCCATTCGGGCACTCCTGTGCGAGTGGGAGTTTGAGGGGTGAATTCCGTTCAATCCTTTGGTGGTCAGTGTTTGTGTTCGGTTATGAGGAGATCGACACTGGGTCAACAAAGAGGCAGAACCAGTGGAGGTTGAAGCAGCAGTCCCAGCAAGGTGAGTATTTTAGAGGTTGAACCGGTGGAGGTTGAAGTCGAGAGCAAAGAATTTTGGAGGTTGAGTGTGTGGTTTTTTCAGTGTATCTGTGGAGGTTGAAGTCCCAGCAGCAGCAGTCCCAGTAGCAGCAGCAGTCCAGCTAAAGAAGTAGTTTCAGAGGTTGAGTGTCCGACAATGGTGGTTCTCGACGGGTGGTCCTCGACGGTAATGGAGCCCGAGTGTCTGGCAATTTTGGAGGTTGAGTGTCCGACAATGGCGCAGGGTGCTCGGGTCAGGCGTGGGGCTCAAGAGTGTCTTAGTGTTTGAGTCAGACGTGGGGGCGGGGGCTCAAGAGAGTGTATCAGGCGTGGGTCTATTTTCAGTGTATCTGTGTTTAGGTGGGGGCTCAAGAGAGTGTGGTTGTTTTTTTCTTTTTTTATTTTCTAGTTGTATTTTAAAATGTAAAATCGTGAGGCGAAGAGGTTGGTTATATGAACGCGAGTAGCAGTAGTAGGAGAGTGAGTATTTACTCTTCGAATCTCTCTCAATGCATTTTATCTCCTTGTACCTTTAAATTTCATATTTTTAATGGAATTATTCTTTGCCGATCAAAAAAAAAAAAGCCCAACAGAGATAATCTAAATAAAGTGCATACAGTTTAACAATATCATAAGGTGCAATGCATATGAGATGCCAATACCAAAATCATAGGTCTTCTCATTTTGAAATTCTCATACCATGCACTTGTTCAAAAAATAACCAACTCCACCATCCGTTTGATAGAACAAGAGGTGGTAAATACGACACTGGTAATCCCTAGGTTGGTGTCTGCAAGTAAGCATAATTAGCACTACCAATCTCCACTTTACCGACTCTTAACCGAAAGGCATGTGGTAGTACCTATTCCGTGCATATTTTCGGTTTCTCACTCTGGACACTTAAGCCAACTTAAACAATACCAATTTACAACCCTATCCTGACTTACCAAACTTATTTACCACATAACTCAACACATTTCAAATATTCCCAATTAATCAATTAAAAAAAAATTCAATTTCTCAAATCCAATGCGAGGATTAAATCATGAAATTATACAATATTCAATGCCATGCACGAATTTGCAAATATTTCAATTTATCTATTTCACATACAATTTATACAATAATCAATACAACCCTCCACGGTTGACTAAACAATTATCTCTATACAAAATATAAATTTTAAGAGACAAATATAACTCATAAACTCATATTTTCAATAATTTCAACATAGGAGCAACAATTACATGTTCAATCTCCTTTTTCCTAAATCAAGAATCATCATATTCCTCCAATTATTTATTTATTTATTTATTTTATTATCAATTTTCCCTTTTTGTTCAAACTCAAGAATTCACCAAAAATCTTCATAATGCCAAAAATAACATATGCTTCTTTCAACTTTTCTTAATACCTCAACATGATAAATATTTTCATTTTTCTCAAGAGTTCAATATTTTCAAATTATTACAAAAGGAACTTTAATGTTTTCGAATATTCCCAACAACATTCTCATCAATCTCATCCCTTTAAACCTCCACTTTCAAATACTCATTTGTTCAAATATACATATGTTTTTAACACTTACAAGTTTTTCACAAACTTAGCCCAAAATTTAAATCGTAACATTTTAAATTTCTAGGGTTTTATTAAAATTTGGGGATTTCTTACTTAAAAAAAAATATATTCCTCAAAATCCATGAGTCATACAAAAATCATACTCAACTAACAAGAGATTTTTTTTAAAAATTGAGAACTTCTCCCTTTTTATGCATTTAATATACCATTAATAAAATCCTAATATTTTCAAATATCACACTATCAAAATAACACATAATAAAGGTAAAACACATACACAATGTTTAAAAATTCCCTACCTCAAAAGCTGGAAGAGGAAACAAGCAAAAACCTTAATTTTCAACTTCGTTAAATTTCAATCTCTGCTAGTCAAAACGTTGCTCTTGCCAAACTTTTCACTTTGACCTCAAGAAACAGGGTCTAAAACATAATAAATTTTGGTGGATCAAAGCTTTTACAGGATAATTGTAAAAGAAAAAAAATATAAGAAAGAGAGAATCGAGAGCCGAGAGAGAGAGATAGAGACGAGCATTGCTACTCAAGAACAAATAAATAAAAGAGAAAGAAGTGAAAAGAAAAGGAGGGGGGCAATCTCCACTGGTGAAAACGTTGCTCTTGTCAAACTTTTCACTTTGACCACAAGAATTGGGGTCTAAAACGTAATAAATTTTGGTAGATCAAAGCTTTTACAGGATAATTGTAAAAGAAAAAAAAATATAAGAAAAAGAGAATCGAGAGCTGAGAGAGAAAGAGAGAGAGAGAGAGAGGCGAGCATTGCTGCTCAAGAACAAATAAATAAAAGAGAAAGAAGTGAAAAGAAAAGGAGGAGCGCAATCTCCACTGGTGAAAACGTTGCTCTTGTCAAACTTTTCACTTTGACCACAAGAATTGGGGTCTAAAACGTAATAAATTTTGGTAGATCAAAGCTTTTACAGGATAATTGTAAAAGAAAAAAAAATATAAGAAAAAGAGAATCGAGAGCTGAGAGAGAAAGAGAGAGAGAGAGAGAGGCGAGCATTGCTGCTCAAGAACAAATAAATAAAAGAGAAAGAAGTGAAAAGAAAAGGAGGGGGGCAATCTCCACTGGTGAAAACGTTGCTCTTGTCAAACTTTTCACTTTGACCACAAGAATAACATAATTTATAAAATATTATAATTTTTCTCACTATAAAATATATTTTGTTTATTAGTATACATCATATAAATATTTGTAACTCTCTCAATATTATAAAATAAATAATAATAATAATAATAATAATAATAATAATATATGGTTACAAATGAGTCGTGATTCAATCAATTAGATTCAAAATGAATGAAATTTAATAATCTAGACTAAACCTTCAGCTAAAAATTAAAGCATCAAATAATTTAAATAGATTCAAGGTGATCCCCACCATTACCATAGTCAAATATGAACTAAAATAACATAATTTGGATTAATTAAATGAAATCCCAAAAAATTAAATTTATATCCACATTCAATAATCAAGACCCAGGAATAATTAAAACTAAAAAAAATTGCCAAGCGGGCCTTATGAAATCGAAATCGAAATCGAAATATATCGAAATCGAGAAATAATATAATTTGTTTTCACTAATTTAAATAAAATGGTCAACGGCACTACAACTATAATAATAATAACTACACAATCAAACAATTTGAAAATTCATACCTATCCAACTCCAATAATACCCGAGCCCGCAAACATATTAAGTAGATTACTAAACAAGTAACCAAAAACATTTAATTAATTAATTAAATTAAATTTGATTCGACTCGTGACAATTCCTACGTAAGATAGGACTAGTACGGGCCATTTGTAATAACAAAAAAGTTTTGGGTAGCATTGTTTCCTTTGAACAGGGAGGCCCTCACCGTCTACCAATAGTTTTGTTCCTGCTTTAAGTCATCAAAGGAAACTTCGTAAGCTGTTAATACTCATTTGGAGCTGTTTGTTGTCTTTGAGATTGTTGATTAGGGATATTTATTAGTCTAACAGTACAATTACACATAATATTTAGCATGAATATTATAATAACAATGATAATAAATAATATATGTAGGGAAGCATTTTATGAAAGACACCAGGTGGCTAAGGTGTTGTTGAGATTTCAACCGAGGTGCCATGTGGATTGGTCATGTTTCACCGAGGCAATCACAGCATTGTCGAGATGTTCTGCGGTAATACCGGAATCTTGAGATATTCAGATAAGGGACAAGAGTCCTAGATCAGAAAAGGATTTCAGTCTAGAAAAGGATAGGGCTCTTAAGGAGTTTATCTTTATCTAGTTAAGAGTTTTAGATAAGCATTGGGTCTGAGTCCTACGAAGTGAGACTTCTGGAGGACTAGGTCACTGCTAGTTAAAAAAATGAGGCATCCCTGTGAGTCTAAGGTATGCTTTTGTTTGTGAATTTAGTACTTATTTGGCATCTTTGAGAGATTTTTTGACTGATTTGATTGTCGGAGTCCTCCTGGTGAACGAACCACCGTGGTATTCTCATCTTTTTGTTGGCAAGTGGTCGGCTTAATTTATTCTGTCACGTGCTCTCTAGCTAAGTTCCTTGTTTTGTTGTGTGGTCGAAAATCAACACCCACAATTTGACGCCATTTGTGAGAACTTAGTTAGGATAGATGGCCAACAACGCATGGGAAGTGAGAATTAGAGACAACATCTATAGTGATGAGGAGGAACATGTGGATCCTAACACTAGAGGAAAGAACGATAATGAAGAAGTATAGGACCTGAATCCTGGGACGAATGATATCAATAATGGATACAATAGCCCGAAGAAGGGAGGCCGAGATGAGTATTACCATGAAGGAAATCTATAGGCATGGAAGGATAAGTGTCTGAGAAGAGACAAGGAACTGAAGAACATGGTGGACAAGTTGACAGCCCTACAGACGGTAGTTAACTTCATGATATAAAATAACATGATGCCCGTAAAAGGGGAAAAAGACTATCCTAGTTGTCTCATAGCATGGCAAGGAACAGGGAAACTCACATCATCCATCACGGGATGT